GTAGGCTTGGCTTCCCCCTTTGCCATCCTGCCTTCCTCACTCCCTCAGACAGAGGCGAGCGCTCTCCTGAGTCATCTCCCAAGATCACAAAAGCAGAAGAGCTGGGATTCAAACCCAAATCCATTTGACTCTCAGCCCTAAGTTTCTATCAATTTTATCAAGCCCTTGACTTTGATTTACAAAATACAAATCCTTATGTCTTAGCAAGACATCCAAAGTCCCTGGTATATGACCGTCCTTTCTAGCCTCACATCCCATCACCCACTCCCATATAAACCCTGGTCCAGTCACATCAAACTCTTTCCTTTCCCTGAACATCTCATATTTCTGCTTTCCCTGCAGTATTCTGCTTTCCCTGCAGTAAGTTCACTGTCCTAATCTGCTTGATGACACCTTCTTTTCCTACAGATCTCATTTCAGGTGTTTCCTCCTCTGGGAAGAACTTGCTGGCCCCTCAGTAAAGTTAAGATCTCTGGCCCTCAAGTTCCTGAGGCAGGCTGTGTGTTCCCTTAGCTGCTATTTTAATGGATTCTTTGCAGGCAGGGACGTGTCTGTTCACTCTGCTTCCCAGCCTGGCATTTTGTTGGATGGAGAAATAAATGAATTCTATGGAGGTGCTGGTCCCAGAGACCCCGGCTGAAAGGTTGCCAGCATCCCCATGACTGGGAAGCATCATTTGGCGCCAGACAAATTTGGATACACTGTGACCTTCCTGAGCATGAGGACTAGTTTTATTTCACTGAAGCAGCCTTTCCAAGACCTAACACCACCTCCTACTCATAAAAGAAAAGATCCAAAAAAACCCATTGAACCAAATGAGGTGCTGGCTGAAGGGGATGATGTAGGAGAAAAGTACTTCACTTTCACGGCTCAGCCTCAACCATTTTTTAAAATCTCTATGTTTTAAAATATATATTATAGTTCTCTGCTGACTCACTTCTTAATTAATATATTCTTACTCCCAAATTTTAAAAATATCTCCTGTTTGAAAAATTTTTCCTATTTAATACTTAATAGAGCAAAAGACAACTGAAGAGTTTGTTAAACTCCATTTCTAGGTCAGAAATCAACTCTTATGTGGATACATTAAACATGACTAAGGCGTTTTCCAGCTGGCTTGCGTAACACTACATCTTTGTTTAAAGGGGTCCCTTTGAAACATAAATATGTCATTAATCTACAGGGTGGTTTTTCCCCCCACTTTCTAATAATTACTTACTGAACAGAAGTACAGGTGTTGGTACAGGCACCAAACACCACCAGTATGAAGCTGAGGAGGCTGGGGAAAACCCTTCTCCTATAAACATAAAAACCGAAAGCCAAGCTTACCGGGTAAGTAGCTGAACTGTCTACACAGGAATT